AACAGAGGAGGCACCATAGACATTGTTTTGGGGAAAAAAAACCCTCCGTTTTCCTCATGAAACCCCAAGAATTAAAAGCAAGATAATTTCCTCTTAAAATCAAAGGCTCTGTTCTATTTTACATTGTGTTATCTGACAGTTTTGAGTTGTGCGGGTATCAAATTCACATCAGGAGAGAGCGTGGTATGTAATAACTAGGTAGAAAATACACTTTAAGGGATGGCTAATAGTAATTATAAATCAGAGATGTACGCTCTTAGTCACCTGAAAGACATGAAAACATTCCCCACGCCCCACTGAGAGATAAGACTCCCACGGCAGATGGACTGATTACAAAATAAGGTGATTTTGGTTTCCTTGCAATGAAATGTGTGATAGAAGCACCATGCTGTCTTCTTCCATAGTATTTCCCTCCCTTTGAGGATCCAAAATTCAGTATAAAATGGCACCCTTAATTTTAGGGATCTGTCTTTGCCTTCAGCTGTGCCTGCTTATCAGGCCCTAAAAATGCATTCTACTGGCGCTGCTCCTCCAGAGGCTCCACCCTGAAGCCAATAATCCAATCAAGAAACTGGCAAATAAAAAATCTTATGAGTGATGAACCTTCTGTCTGTGTTGCTATATATGTGTTTTGTGTAATGTCTACAAAAAGATCTCTAATTGACTGGCTTAAAGAAAAATAAGCACTTAAATAAAATGTATTTTAGTACATGTGATTTTAATCTTTAAGGAATAAAAATAGCCTTAAGGATTATTGGTAAAATGCAATAAAAGTAAAGTGTCATCAAAATGCAAACAGATGGTCTAAATCATACAACTTAGATACTAGTTTGCTAAATGTTCCAAGGTTGTATATTGCCTGCTTTACAGATAGGTATGACCTGGGACACGTGGATTTAGAAGCTGGGAAAAGTCAGACTTTATCTGCACTTCTGTCTGGTTCCTAGGCGCTACATCTGGTACATAATTAAAATTGCTTACTAATCAGGTTTTTCACCAAAAGTAAAAGTTGCTGAGTTAACAGTGCAACATGTATTTGAGATCACTAAACTGTTTTACATGCAAGGCTTATAAAAACAGTAAGATGTGTTTTTTAGTAAAAGATTATAAGAAAGCATGGAAATGTAAATTTTTCACAAGGATAAGGAATTATCTTAAATTTAATAAGATAAAGCTAAACACTTAGTTGTGGAAAGACTGTAAAAATTAATCTTGCAAAAATATGTAACATTAAATTCAAAAGAGTATTGTATGGTCTTTTCATAAACTGAGCATTGAAATAAAAGCACAGCAAGGTTGTCTTAAGATGCTAATCTGCCCTTTAGCAAAAGAGTTATAAAAGGTTTGCAAAGATTTTACCTCATGGTGAAATTGGTTAAGATTAGATGGAATCTTCTATAAGGTTTCATTTAAACAAATTGGGGTTAATATTAATAAACCGATGCAAAGGTAAATTTGACTTTGAACAGGATTTTCATGTAATAGTAAAGGCTAATAAAAGGTTTTTGCCTTTTGAGTCATTTTTGGCAAAATAAATAATTTATGGCAATTTGAAATTCTATTTCATAACATCAAGTATTTTAAACCTCTAATATTTAACAGGTGTCCCAAATTCAAGCGTCAAGTTTCAAAATTGTCTTTCCTAATGCCTGGTTTTCTGGATGCTTCACAGGACCCCTGAAACATTCAGAAAAGAGGTGAACCAGATTATCTGACATTTTTGGTCGCATAAGATTGCCAAAATGATGTCTAATCTTCTTTAAGTTACATTTTGGTGGATAATACTAATTTATGTTCCAAAACCGTATGAGATTTCTAAAATGTTAATGTCTGAATATATGCTATCAATCATAATCAAGGGTAAAGTTACTGTAAACCACAGAGATAACTAAACTTTGTCAGTTGTGGAAATTTTGTCACTAGATAATTGTTGTCTTCCTTTGTTCCTTCTCAGCAGATGGTTTATAATCAAGCTAGAAGACTTTCATACGTGTTCTCAAATGCAGGTTTCCAATAGCTTCCAAGATTGTAAATTGGAATAGAGAAAAAACACACAGGACTCATGAAGAACTGAAATGTTCATAAATGTCAAGCAAAACAAGATTTAACTAAATGGACAGCACTCAGAAAGTTAAAGCAAACTTTTTGACTTTTGCTTGGAATATTTCTGATCCTTGTTTTGTTTTTCAGGGTCAAGGAAACCTATTTTGAACTTTTTACAGCCTTTAATAGTTGATTAAGGTATATTCCTGTGAACAAAATTTGGAGCATGTTTATTTCTCTCTGCCTGGATCCTCTAGAATTTGGAAACTATCTGAGAGTATTCTTAACTTATGGCAATACAGTTGTTTGCATCAGTGCAATAAGAATCCATTTCACTTTTTCAGCAGGATACAATTGGAAAAACTGTTATTTTATCAAGGCTTTGACCCGAAGGGTATATACTTCCTTCTAAGGAATCAATCTTGACTTGAAGAGCCAAGAAAAACCTATCAGGATAACTGACCTCATACCTTGTCTACACAGTCCCTGCACAGGGTTTCTAACCTGTGGTCAATAAAGAATGTCACTTTCTAACAGGTCCAGGAGCTCCAAATTCATCTTGGGACGTTAAGAGAAAAGGATCACCCAACTCACATGTATCTGAGGATATAAATCCACGGCTGGGCTTGTCTTTAAAAGGTTTTTGTCTGAGATTCCTTGAGGAACAGAATTCCATCAAAGACAATCCAAAAGACCTATGTGGAAATAATTATTCTTGCTGCACAGCAAAATAAACTATCATCAGAGTGAACAGAAAACCTACAGAATGGGAGAATTTTTTTGCAATCTATCCATCTGACAAAGGGCTAATATCCACAATCTACAATGAACTTCAACAGATTTTTCAAGATAAAAACAACCCTATTCGAAAAGTGGGCAAAGGATAGAAACAGACACTTCTCAAAAGAAGACATTTATGTGGTCAACAAACATATGAAAAAAAGCTCATCATTACTGGTCATTAGAGAAATGCAAATCAAAACCACAGTGAGATACCATTTCATGCTAGATAGAATGGCGATCATGAAAAAGTCAGGAAACAACAGATGCTGGAGAGGATGTGGAGAAATAGAAATGTTTTTATACTATTGGTGGGAGTATAAATTAGTTCAACCATTGTGGAAGACTGTGGCAATTCCTCAAGGGTCTAGAACCAGAAATACCATTTGATGCAGCCATCCCATTACTGGGTATATACCCAAAAGATTATAAATAATTCTACTATAAAGACACATTCACATGTATGTTTATTGCAGGACTGTTCGTAATAGCAAAGACTTGGAACCAATTCAAATCCCCATCAATGATGGACTGGATAAAGCAAATGTGGCACATATACACCATGGAATACTATGCAGCCATAAAAAAGGATGAGTTTGTGTCCTTTGCAGGGATATGGATGAAGGTGGAGACCATCATTCTCAGCAAACTAACACAGGAACAGAAAACCAAACACCACATGTTCTCACTCATAAGTGGGAGTTGAACAGTGAGAACACATGGACATAGGAGGGGAATATCACACACTAGGGCCTATCAGGTTTGGGGGACCAGAGGAGGGATAGCATTAGGAGAAATACCTAATGTAGATGATGAATTGATGGGTGCAGCAAACCACCATGGCACGTATATAATTATGTAACTAACCTGCGTGTTCTGCACGTGTATCCCAGAACTTAAAGTATAATTTGAGAAAACTGTGCAAATGACATGAATAAACATTTTTCAAAAGTAGATGTATACATACAGCCAACAAACATGAAAAAATGTTCAATATCACTAAACATCAGGGAAATGCAAATTAAAACCACAATGAGATACCACCTTAATCCTGCAAGAATGGCCATAATAAATTAAAAAAAAAAAAAAAAAAAAAAGAAGTTGGCTTGGATTTGGTGAAAAGAGAACACTTTTATACTGCTGGTGGGAATGTAAACTAGTACAACCACTATAGAAATGTGTCTGGAGATCCATTAAAGAACTAAAAGTAGAACTACAATTTGACCCAGCAATTCCACTATTAGGTATCTACCCAAAGAAAAATAAGTCATAATATGAAAAATACACATGCACATACATGTTTAGAGCAGCAGAATTTGCACTTGAGAAGATATAGATACAATTTAAGTGTCCATCAATCAATGAGTGGATAAAGAAAATGTGGTATATATACACCATGAAATACTATTCAGCCATAAAAGGAACTAAAAACTGTCTCTTGTAGCAACTTGGATAAAGCTGGAGGCCATTATTGTAAGTGAAGCAACTCAGGAATGGAAAACTAAATATCATAGGTTCTCACTTATAACTGGGAGCTAAGCTATGAGGGTGTAAAGGGACAGGAATGATATAGTGGACTTAGAGGACTCCTGGGGGAAGTTTAAGAGGTGGGTGAAGGATAAAATACTATATATCGGATAAAGTGTACATTTGTTGAGTAACAGTTGCACCAAAATCCCAGAAATCACCACTAAAGAACTTATCCATGTAACCAAAAACCACATGTATCCCCAAAAGTATTGAGAACAAAAATTCAAGTTTTGTTACAAACAAGTTCCCGGAATCTTTGTTCTGAAATATTTCTACACTGAAGATTTAGTTTGGTTGGTCCCATTCAAAAATTTGTTAACATTACAAATCATAATAATGTTTTCTTACATGTTTCCACACATACACATATGTTTTTTGTGTAATCCTATCTGGTTTATCTCATTCCCTTGTTTTATTCTTTTCATTATCAACTTAGTTAACATTGAATACTTATTTTGCAGCTACTGAATGCTTATTTCTTCTATTGTAAATTATTTTGAGATGAATATATTTATATATAAACCCTTGTCTTTTTTCTTGTTCTTTCCTTAGATTGAACTATTATACACAGAATTCTGAGTCAGAGTTCTGAGGACTTCTGAGAATCTTGGTAAGAATTTTTAAATTGCTTTCCAGAAACCTTAACGATTTGTGTGCCTAACAGCCATGTGTTATAATGCCTGTTTCACTTTATTCTCAGCCATATATTTCATGAAATGTAACTTATTATTCATTCTTTAAGACCTCATGAGACTGTTACATGAAGTATGGAATATTTTTATGAACTCTCATGCAAACAAGTCAGGAACATGGTAGGAAACAGTAGAAATGTAAGTTACATATTGACATTCTTACTCTCCCCATAGCCGATAAATTTGGGGTCAAGATAAATGTGATTGGGTTAACCAAACTTCTAGCACTTCTGATATATCATGAATTAAGCTGCTGTTTGGTGTTCAGAATGACTAATTTAAAAATTAATATTTAGGCAACATAACCATTAGTTTATTGTTTCTTCTGCTGCTACTGGGTACAAATCCTGGCAGTGATTTCCAATAAACTGGAAGCAGAATAAGCAGAAAGTGGAAAATATTTAATGATAGATAAGCATATCAATAAACTGAGGGTGATAGTAGAAGCCTTTCCTGTAGCTTTTGTTTAAATGGTCTTTAGAGTTTTGTAGTAGAAAGTAAGTAGCTCCCTGGGCTGAGCAGTTTCCAGTTCTCAGTTCAGTCGTAAACTTGCTCTGCGATTTCAGGCAAAAATGAAAGTATTGTCAGGTCTCAATTTCTTCTCTCTATAAGATTTCTGAAATTTATGTCAGTTTTAAAACATCGTGATCATATAATTCTTATAGATAAGTATGCTATGCAGTCAGACTTAATAAAAAATGAAGATTCACTCTAACCACATTCGTTGCTTGATATTTACATAATTTGTACTTTTTCATGATTACAAGTAATGCTAAGTACTCTTGTATACAGAATTGTATGGTAGATTGTATATATGTATATATAATATATGTGTCTGTTATATGTATATATAATATGTGTCTATTATATGTATATATAATATGTGTCTATTATATGTATATATAATATATGTGTCTATTATATGTATATCTAATATATGTGTCTATTATATGTATATATGTATATGTGTATGTATATCTAATATATGTACATATTATATATACTACATTGATTTGATGGGTCAGATATAATGCATAATTTGTAGGAATATTTTCAGTGAAACTTCCATCTAGAAAGGCTGCTATTTTATACTCTCAACAATAGTGCATTGGGGTACCCATTTTTTACAATTAAATGTTGGATATTATTGAACTTTAAATTTTTTCACCAATTTGATAAGTGAATAGTACTATCACCTTGCTTTTTAATATTTGTATCATTACTATTTGTAAATGTAAAGCTGAACTTCTTATTTTTGGGACCCATTTGTATTTCTTTTTACAGTAAATTACCTGCTTTACAGCCTTTATGCATTTATCTACTGATCTTTATGCAGTTAGGCAGTTGTCTTGTAATGTATATTTGTAGGAGTTTTTCATAGATTGTAAAAATATATATCACACATATTTTTCCATGTGTTTATTTGCATATTAACTTTGTACTTTGTTACAAAAAAATTTAATGCTCAAAAAATTTAAACTTTACTATCTTTTGATTAATTTGAATTTTATTTTAGGAAGGAATGTTCTGCCTTAAGCTATTTGCTTGAGTATTGTTACAGTTGTGTCTATATATATGTGTGTGTATGTGGGGGAGTGGTGGTTGTAGTCAGTCTGGAATGCAATAAATGCTTTCAGATAGAGATAAAATTTGTTCACCAAAAGGAGAGCCCTTTGTTCCATAACCATTTGTAAAATAGTCTGTTTTTACCCACATTATAAAAATAAATACCACTTATTTTAAATACACTTTTATTTTGTATTAAATTTATCCTCTGCCTTATTACTGTTCACTTTCTAAATACAGTATTCTTGAGCGTTTTTTTTTAAAACTAACAGTAGAATTATTTTTTAAGTCCCCATAGGAATTGTTTGAGATTTGATTTGGAATTATCTTGAATGCATAGACTGTTTTTGTGAGACATAAAATATTTACAACATCAAATTTGATGACTGAGTGTGGTGGCTCACACCTGTAATCCTAACACTTTGGGTGGCCTAGGTGGGGGGATCGTATGTGCCCAGGTGTTCAAGGCTATAGTGAGCTATGATCACACCACTGCACTTAGCCCAGGCAACAGAATAAGACTCTGTCTCACACACGAACACACACACACACACACACACACACACACACACACACACACACAGAGAAACAGAGACAGATAGATAATCCATAAAGAAACGTAAAAATAATTTACATTTATATGTGACTTGTTTTATTTAAGTAAAAGAAAGAGTTTTGTTAATTTTATTTTTTGGATAGTTGTTTGACCTTAACATTTTTAGTAAGCTTATTATGTTTAAGTGCTTTCGTGACTTTCTTTTTATAAAAATGAATATAATTTCACAATATTTTCAAGTTGGTCACTGCTGATTATTAGGAAATCTATTTATTTTTTATTTCTTTGTATGTAGGGTTCTTAATAAACTTTCTCTTAGTTCTAACTTCCCCAAAACTTTTTAAAGAGACATTATTAGATTTACCTGTTTTTTATTTTTGCTTAGATTTACCTTTCATTAAAATTATTTACCATTTTTATGGACATATAATAGTTGTACATATTTATGGAGTACATGTGATGTTTTGATACAAGAATACAATATGTTATAATAAAATCAGGGTAGTTGGGATAGCCATCATTTCAAATATTTATTGTTTCTTCATGTTGGGAACATTCCAAATTCAGTCCTCTAGATTTTGAAAAATAATATAAATTGTTCACTACAGTCACCATATTGTGCTGCTAAACACTCAAACTTATTTGTACTATCTAACAATTTAACTATATTTTGTTACTCATGAAACAACCCTTCTTTATCCCTTCCTTCCTAGTACCCTTCCCAGCCTCTCGTAACCATCATTCTACTATCTCCATGAGATAATTTTTTTTTTTTTATAGTTCACACATATGAGTGAGCAAATGCGATATACTTCTTTCTGTGTCTGGCTTATTTCACTCAAGATAATGTCCTCCAGTTCCATCTTTGTTGTTGAAAGTGACATGGTTGTATAATATTCTATTGTGTATATGTGCCACATATACTTAATCCATGAATCTGTTGATAGATACTTATGTTGATTCCATAGCTTGGCTATTGTGAAGAGTGCTACAACAAACATGGGAATGCAGATATTTCTTTAATTTACTAATTTTTTTTGGATACATACTTAGCAGTGGGGTTGCTGGATCATACGGTTGTTTTATTTACAGGTTTTTGAGGAACCGCCATACTGTTCTCCATAGCATCTGTACTAATTTTCTTTTCTTTTCTTTTCTTTTTTTTTTTTTTTTTGAGACAGAGTCTTGCTCTGTTGCCTAGGCTGGAGTTCAGTGGTTGCCATCTCAGCTCACCACAACCTCTGCCTCCTGAGTTCAACCGATTCTCCTACCTCAGCCTCATGAGTAGCTGGGATTACAGGCACGTGCAACCATACCAGCTAATTTTTGTATTTTTAATAGAGATGGGGTTTCACCATGTTGGTAAAGCTGGTCTTGAACTCCTGACCTCGTGATCCACCCACCTCGGCCTCCCAAAGTGCTGAGATTACAGGCGTGAGCCACCGCACCTGGCCATCCGTACTAGTTTTCATTCCCACCAACAGCGTACAAGGGTTCTTTCTCCTTTCTCCATATCCTCATCAGCATCCATTATTATTTGTCTTTTTGACAAAATTAATTTTAACTGGAGTGAGGTGATATCTCATTGTGGTTTTTATTTGCATTTCTCTTGTGATTAGTGATGCTGAGCATTGTTTTATATACTTGTTAGCCATTTGTATGCCTTTTGCTGAAAAATGTCTATTCGGATAGTTTAACCATTTTATAATTGTGTTATAGGTTTTTGTTGTTGTTGTTTGCTATTGCATCATTGGCATTTCCTATGTCTCTTGGTTATTAATTACATGTCAGTTGAATAGTTTACATAAGTTCTCCCATTCTGTAGGTTGTATATTTATTTTTTGATTGTTTCTTGTGCTGTTCTGTAGGTATTTAGATTGATGATCCCATTTGTCAATTTTTGTTTTGGTTGCCTGTGTTATTGAGAAATCTTTGTCCAGACCAATGTCCTGAAGCATTCACTAAATGCTTCCTTCTAATAATTTCATACTTTCAAGTGTTGCATGTAGGAGTTAATCCATTTTGATTTTATTTTTGTATATAAGAGAAGTCTGGTTTTATTCTTCTGCATATGGATATCCAGTTTTTTTCAGCATTATTTGTTGAAAAGACTATCCTTTTCCTGATGTATGCTATTGGCATTTTTGTCAAACATGAGTTGACTGTAAATGAATAAATTTATTTTTGGGTTTTCTATTCTGTTCCATTGTTCTAGCCACCTGTGCTTATGCTAGCACCATGCTGTTTTGATCACTGTAGCTTTGTAGTATAATTTGAAATCAAGTAATGTAATGACTCTAGCTTTGTTCTTTTTGCTCAGAATTACTTTGACTATTAGAGTCTTTGTTGTTTCACATAGATTTTAGGATTATTTTTTCTACTTATGTGAAGAATATCATTGATATTTTGATAGAGATTACTTTGGATATGTAGATTTCTTTGGATAGTATGGACGTTTTAATGATAGTGAGTCTTACAATTCATGAGCATGCGATATCTTTCCATTTTTGTGTCCTCCTCAATGTTTTTCATTAATATTTTATAGTTTTAATTGTAGAGATCTTTCATTTCTTTGGTTAAACTTATTTTTAGGTATTTTATTTTTCGTCATAGCTATGATAAATGGGATTATTTTCTTGGGTTCCTTTTAGATTGTTTACTGTCAGCATATATAAATGCTACTGATTTTTGTAAGTTGATTTTATATCCTGCAACATTACTGAATTCATTCGTCAGTTCTAACAGGTTTTTGATGGACTTTTAAAGGATTTTCTAGATGTAAGATTATATTGTCTGCAAATAAGAATAATTTAACTTTTTTCTTTCCCATTTAAATGCCCTTATTTCTTCTTTTCATCTAATTGTTCTGAGTAGGACTTCCAGTACTATGTTGAATTAGAGCGGTGAAAAGTGAGCATCTTCGTTTTGTTCCATAGCTTAGAGGAAAGGCTTACAGTCTTCCTTCATTCAGTCTTATACTAGCTATGAATTAGTCATATATAGCCTTTATTGTATT